AAAACTACGACTATCGATTAATATAAACTTTAGTAATGATGACCATGAATTGACGTATAACTTAACGAAGTGTAATTACAAAGAAGTCAAGTTCATAGTTAATCTAAATATATTTTCTGAAAAGTTATTGTTATTAAAGAAGTATGTCTATGAATTGATATCAACGATTATTTGATGACAACGAGAACTTTATTCTTAATTTAGCAAAACCATTGTCGAAATAGAATGAAATTACAAAAGAAGTTTTTGTATATACAATCTTGTATAAAAAGAACTTTTTTCTCAGAAGTCGAATCTACAAAAAATTGAAAAAAACATAAAAATTCAAATTTATAAACGATGGCTAAAATCTCTAAAAATTTCGTTTTCCTATGCCTAATTCTTATGGTTATTTGCGCATTTGTTTCAGCAGGTGAATACACATTAATATAATTCACAGTTCATTAATTAACAAACTTCAAATTCGTCACAAATCATTTACTTACAATTTGTTAACTATGCTAATTTATTTAATGCTTACCTAAAATTTATGAAGAGGAAGTAAAAAAGGATGAGAAATGTTGTCAAGAAAAAGAGAGATGTTGTTTTTGTCCAAGGGGTATGGAGCCTCTTTTTGCTGGTCCTTGGAAAGCGTGTCCTATAGATCCCAAGACATGTGGGGACTGCCAAGGAGGGTTAAATAAGGTTGATATTCGATGGGTCTGGGACAAGGTTTATTGTGTTTGGGTTCAAGAATGCAGATGTGTATGTTGTTGTGAAAAAGATTGGAAAAAGAAATAAGTAAATCATACATGTATTATTCAAAAAGTTCTTTTAACTTGCATGTTACTAAATATTAATATAGTTCATTAAATCTTTTTATTTGTAATTATCTCTTGTTTGCTAGAAATGAAATTTATAAAGTATACCTGAAATAAAGATCACATATGTAATATTTGATGTTTCAGGCAAATACAAAGTTAATTTTCGGTAAAGTTTCTAAATTAATCAAATTCTTAAAACATCTGTAATTTCTGAGACTTTTTCATTTAATTAGTCATGTTAATTTGAATAATGCTATGAAATTTGTTACTAAATCAATTAAAGTTTCCTTTTGAGCAATATTCTGCTAAAATAAATTATAATCTTTTAAAAAAACAATCTTGTGTGGGGGGGGGGGTTATCTTGTACGATTCTTATATCGGGAATATATATCTTTGCCTTGTTCTAAATACCAATAAGCATCCAAATTTCCAGATTAGCGGCAAGCTTGAAATAATACGCTGAAACGAGATTCTGTTCAATATTCTGACCCCAATGAATAAGTCTCCCTGAATTATATAGACTGACTCTCCGTTCAGATTTCGTCGCTTTCTCATACAGTTAACATTTATTATTTTTTCAAAAAGCTGTCCTAGTTCGTTTATATGAACAAAT